GACAACCTCCCCTAAAAACACAATCTTCTAATGAACAGGAACATCAAAGACTTGAGGAAAATCTTCAGTCCCTGCTGAAGCAGAAGGTGCTGTTCACCCGGCAAAGGGACTTGGCAGTAAAGCTGCAGCATCACTTCACTGTGTCCCAGATGAGGTAGGAGCCCAGGCTTCCAGAAGCAGGTGGATCCAAGTGGGTCCGCTGTACCTGGATCTCCGTCCTCTTTGAGTTTTGTCAATTGGCAAAGCTGCCAGCCACGGGCAGGGCCTCAGAGTGTCATTGCTGGCTCAGTCAACAGGAAGCAATATGCTCTCTCCTTGGTCTTATGGGGACTGTGTCCCCTTTTTCCTTTCTGAGAACTCTTGTATTCTCTAGTATCTCATTTCTTAGATTAGATCTCCCCACAAATATTCACATGGCAGCCAGAAACGTGGAAAGGAGGATCATTGATCATGAAGGAAAGTGTGTCCCCTGCATCTTTTCCATCAGGAACATCACGTTTAGAGAGAAGTGTCCACCCTTTGCAGATTTGCATACAGCACACTCCTGCTGACTGCAGGCTCTCTGCAGTGTTTATCAGTTTCTCATGAGAAGATTTACTCTGGTCATACACAGAGTAGGAGCTGACAAGTTAATCCCATGCAGGGTTCTGAGCTGTAGGAATAACCAGAGCCTTCTCTGCATTGCTGTGTAGGCTCCACTAGAGGGCAGGCATAGAGTTTTCCAGGAGGGTCACATTCACCTGTATCCATTCAAGGCCAGGGATATCTTTCCTGACCTGTGCCTCAGACCTTGACATATTCATATTTCTCCAAAATGATGTCTTTGGACTGTTGGAGAAATATGCTCTTTTTTTTTCTAATCCAGCACAGTATGTACTTACCAGTTCAACTTCTAGCAGTTTTTAAAAGCTGAGAAAAAAATCCTGCCCAGGTGCTCTCTGACCCTTTTCCCGTAGGGAAGCAAGCAATGAACTCACTTGAAAGGCAATGCTTGAATGTCTAGCTGAGTAGAGCTGGTGGGAGCTCAAAAGCTGACATGGCAGGTCCCCACCAGGCTTGTGCCCCAGCTGCCTTCCTCCCCCTAGGTTTGAAAACCTCTAGCAGGAACTGGGGCAGACCACAGTCCAGGAAGACAGCCTACTGTAGAAGGAGCTGCTGGTGCAGAAACACTATGTTCCAGGCAAGTAAGCCACCATTGAGCCCCATCCCCAGCAGCCAGGGTATTCATGGGGTGTGTTTTCTTCCTTAACTTTTGTTTACTAGGGATGAATAGGCCCTGATTTTTCTTTACAGTGGCACAGCAAAACTGATTCTGAATATTTTCTTTGATGATTTTTCCTAACAGCACCTCTTCAGAAAACTGAGAAGGCTGGAAGAAGCCAGAGACACCTTGAAGGCACAATATTCTACACTCCAGGTTCACGGCCTCCTCAGAAAATGTCACCTCTTTTCAGCTGTGAACTCACTAGTGAGACAAATATCAACCTACCATCAGGCAGTCCAGCCACAGTCTAATCCACATCCATTGGCTCAATATTCCCAGAGAAAAGGTTGTATCACAAATAGTCTGAGATTCAGAGGACACAACACAAATTACTAAGAACCCTGACTACTATCAGCATGTGGCCCCAGTGAGGGGCAAAACAAAATGAAGAGGACATGTGGGTGAGCAAGAGTTCTTCTGTCAGCTTCCTATCAAGGGCTTTGACAAGCTGGCTCTATAGGTGATGGGAAAATCTGACAAGGAAGCCTGTGTTAACATCACACTGCCATCCACACAGACCACACCCAAAAGCATAAGATTCTCTCCAGTGCAGTGCTGAAGCTGACTTGTGCAAGCTGACTTGAAGCCATGTCATGTGCAAGTTTTGCTGAGGATAATTCACTGCAGAGAATAAGACAGTTCCTCACCTCATTTGCTCTCCCATAATGAAATTCCAAGTGATCCTGAAATTTGCTTATTTTTTTTGTTTATATGTTGGGATATTTATGCTTTGGATTTTGGTGTTCTTCGTTTTGGTTTAAGGTTTTGTTAATTTTTGTTATTTCTTATATTCTTGTCATTGTTTTAATAGTTTGCTAAGGCTATACATTATATATAAAGACTGCTGTTTTGAAAGCCCCCATTGAGTAAAATGAATGTATTTTTATGAATAAAATGCAATTTCAAACTTCACTCTTGTACTCTTCTTTAGGCAGGTGAGGTTTCACACTCCTGTAACCCCTGAACTCACAGGCTTTGATGTATCTCAGTAAGTTCCAGGAATCTTGAGCTACACAAGGATTTCCCAGCCATGGGTCTCAGAGCTATTGTCAGGCCCAAACAACTCTAAAAGTTCTATACCTGTCTGTTGCATTGGTCAGGGTTTTATGGGGTAACAGAATGAATTTCTATATATACAAAAGGCTATGTTTTAGAATGACTTAGAGGCTGTGGTCCAGCTAATTGAACATTGGCTGGCTATAATGGCAAAGTCCTTGAATCTAGGAGTTGCTCAATCCACTATGCTTGATGTCTCAGCCCATCAGCTGAATAGTCTGGAATCCCAAGGAAGTTGGCTCCAATGCCAGTGAAGGCATGGACTTGCTAGCAAGGTGAGAGCAAGCAGCTAAAGAGCAAAACTCCCTTCTTCCATTTCTTTATACGGGCTTCCAGCACAAGGCCTGGCTGAGATTACAAGTAGGGATTTGGGGCCCAAAACATCTGAGATATAGGTGTTTCTTTCCCCATCAATATCCAGATAAAAAGAATGTCTTTCTAATGCAAAGATCAGAATTACATGTGGATCTTCTCTCTTCAAATTAAGCAAAAATACCTCACAGGCATGCCCCTCCATTTTGGGGTTTTAATGAATTTCAGATGTAATAAATTTGACAAAGAAAAATAGCTTTCACAATTGCACACTTGTCTACTTGACACACAATTATATCTTTGATGTCATGATTAATTTCCAAATGTAAAACAATAACCAGGTCTTAATATTGCCTAAACAAGATATATAATTACTCCAAGTACAACATGAACACACTATGTATTAGACCAGCCCAAATTATACCTAACATGATTTAATTATCCCTTGTAGTTGGAGTTCCCTGTGTCCACCCAGCTCCTTCAGCAGCTCAGACCCAAGTAAACACACAGAGACTTAGATTACTTATAAACTGTATGGCCGCGGCAGGCTTCTTGCCATCTAGTTCTTATATCTTAAATTAACCCATTTCTATTAATCTATAAGTTGCCATGTGGCTTGTGGTTTACCGGTACTTTACATCTTACTTCTCCTGACTCAGCCTTCCACTCCCAAAATTCTCCTCTCTGCTTATCCTGCCTGTACTATACTTCTTTCCTGGCTATTGTCCAACTAGTATGTTTTTTTTTTTTATCAATCACTCAGAGCAACACATTCACAGCATACAGAAAGTCATCCCCAGCAATCCCTGTACAACTGCAAACACATTTTATAAAGTTAGAATAAGTGGCAATGTCCCTGGAGGGACATTCTTTTAGTATCTCAAATTTAAATATGATAACCATCAATATTCTCCCTCTTTTGGAATAAATTTGGTTTTATTTATTTATTTTTGTTTTTACATCCTAACCAAAATTTCCCCTCCATCCTCTCCTCTCAGTCCTTCCCCCAATGTCTACTCTTCCTGCTCTCCATCCATTCCTCCTTCTCTTTTTTCTCTTCAGAAATGGACAGACTTCCCGTGCATATCTGCCTGCCATATTATATCAAGTTGTGGTGAGACTAGGCATGACTTCTTACATTAAGGCAGGACATAGCAATTCAGTAGGAGGAATGGGTCCCAAAAGCAGGCATTAGAGACAAGCCCTGCTCCCACTGTTAGGAGTCTCACAAGAAGATCAAGTTATACAACTGTAAACTATATGCAGAGGACACAGGTCAGTCTCATGCATGCTCCCTGGTTGGTGGTTCAGTCTCTGAGGCACTATGAGCCTAGGTTATTTAGTTCTGTGGGATGCTTTTGGGGCATCTTACCCCACTAGCTCCTACAAATATTTAATTGTTTATTCATTATTTCATGTGCATTGGTGTTTTGCCTTCATGTATGCCTGTGTGAGGGTGTCAAAACCTCTATTCCTGGAGTTACAAACAGTTGTGAGCTGCATGAGATTTTTTCATTATTTTTAAAAACTAAGTAATTCATATGATGAGTGAATAGATACTTTCTAATTCGTATTTAAAATAATAACATCTATCTATTTACTATGTAGAGATGAGGAAATAAATACATACACATGATAGAGAGAGAAAGAACATACAATATATGCCATGCCATTTTGTCATTCTGTTCATATGGAGGTCAATAAACAAATTAGGAAGAGTAAGCGTTTTCTTTCCACCAAACTAGCCATCTCATTGGCCCTTCCATGGTACTTTTTATGATCGACTCGTGGCTTTTTGCCTTAGAGTGTTTTCTTGTGGTTCTGAAAGTTAAAGAATATTTTAATATTAAAGGGCATTGTGAAAAATTTGTGCAGAATTTTGTTTCAAATGAATGATACTGTTAATAAACATAACAGGCACTCAGAGTTGAAGGCAGGAAAGAGCAAACATATCAAGCCAGCCACTCAGAAAGTTCTGCTGCCTCCTTGGCTAGTGTCTGGAAGTTAGGATTAGAGTTTATCTTTATATTGATATATGCATGTATATAAAGTTAGATATGGTTGTACATATTTGGTATATCATATAGATACTTATAAAAATATGCATATAACTATACTCATAGTTCTGCATACAACATGCATACCATACACATGCATACCAATGTCACAAAGGTTGTTTGTTTCTTTTTCATTTCTTGTTATGCCAATTTATTATACATCTAATTTAATTTCAAAGGATAATTCTGAGTGTGTGTGTGTGCATGCAAAGGTGTAGACACATACATGTTTTTAAATGTATGAATGTGGGCACATATTTTGTGTGTTATATGGAAACAAGCATGTGTGTATTGTGGCACAACACTGATGGTGCCTTCATCCTTTACAATTGGCTAGTTGCACTTTTACAGTGGGGTGGGGCATGCTTGATCATGGTTCACTCTGTGCATGGAACTTCCATGCTTCTAGAGCACTGATGTTGCCTAAGATGTTACTAACAATGTGTAGATGTTTCAACATCTTTCTTAGATGGAGATCTACAATCTATGTCACATGTTAAGTCCCTCAGATACCATTTGACACCAAGCACATGGAAGTTTTCAGTTTCTCCTTCCTCTTCCACTGCACATTCAGATTATAGTAAATCACCCCCATCAAGTAAGTCTAACTATGCTTACTGGCAATCCAGAACTTGGTGAAGAGCAGGAAACTCTGGGTGCCCAGGATCCAATGATGATGCTGACAGGAAGACTTGCAGGTGGGCTGTTCCTACTGCAACTGTTATCCAGGCATCCAGGCTGAGACAGCAAATAGGTATCCCTGCTGGGCAACTGTATAACTTCTCTTCTTCCAGATTCTGCTGTTTTAGACAGAACAATTATTTTAAGTTCTGTGATTAGATAGCTGGTTTTATTGAGGCCAACCCTCCATCAACTACCATGATGAGAAGAGGTAGGGAAATCCTCATGGCTTTCTGCTTTCTGGTCAATTCCACTTCAAGGTGTGTTTAATGATGTTGAAGGGACAGACTGGAGGGCAAAATTTCAAACAGCTCTGTTCCCCAAACCCAGGTACTGCAGATGTCACAATAAAAGCTTCATAATGAGAGACTCTTGATGATGAATTGAGTCTCAGAAATGATAGACCAGTATTTGAAACATATACATAAGGACTGAGTCTGTCCCTTCCCCAATGACCTTCCTCTTCTCAGCAGTGAGCTTCTGTAGTAGGACAGGATGATTGGTGGGAAGTTGAGAAAAGATGAACTCAATGTGAGTGCTACAGAAGTGGGAAAGTAGGTCATGCACTTACTTACACCTCCTTGAAATACAGGCTATGTAATCTAATGAAATCTGAGAGATATTATTCCTGATGGAATGGCTCACAGGAAGCATTGAGGGTGCTTGGTTATCACAGGCAGAGGTCTCACACAGACTGGAAGATGATGAAGGAAGGATGGGGTTTTCCTGATAAAATACATGTGAGAGAAGCAGTGCTTTACAGCCAATTCCCTGGGCATGACGCAGCACTGGGCTGTGCTTACAGAAGAGGTCAAACATAAAATGGTTGATTCACCAGGGACTTCAGGACTGGTGTTTGCCATTAGTGCCTTTGCAGAGCTCCCTGGGAGAATGTGAACTTGTAGAAACAACTAACATTTTAAGGAAAAGGTGAAGTGTTGTGTAACAATTTTCCTTTTTATGACATGAAATACTTTTATATTATTTTTGAGATTATAATTACATTACTTTCTCTTCTCTTTCATCCTTCAAACCCTCCCAATACTCTTCCTTGCTCCATTTCTAATTAATGAACTCTATTTTCATTAATTGTTGCTACATGCTTATACATACATACATATATATATATATATATATATATATATATATATATATATATATATA